AATAAATGTAAAAAAACAACAGACATAAAAATAGTAATAATGTGATTGGGCAAATGGCAGCAATGGATATTATACCCACTTTGAGAAAGACTAGAGGGCAAGATACATATTCTCTTTTAAAGTATTTTGTTTTATTTTGTTTTTTACATTTATTTATTTTTGGGAGACACCGTGAGACAGAGCACAAGCAGGGGAGGGGCAGAAATAGAAGGAGACACAGAATCTGAAGCAGGCTCCAGGCTCCGAGCAAGCGTTCAGCACAGAGCCTGACACAGGGCTTGAACCCATGAACCATGAGATCATGACCTGAGCCAAGGTTGATCACTTAACCAATGGAGCCACCCAGACGCCAGTCTTAATCATAGGTGGGAAAGGTACCTTTACAATGTGGAAACTGGACAGACACTACCTTAGCTATACGATCAAACAGTATGACCAACAATGAGACACAATGACATCATCTGCTTCCCAGTGAGACACAGAGAAGGTATTCCTTCCCGGAAAAAGGTATAACCTGAGCCTAATCACACAGAGGCATCCGTCAAATCCTAACTAGGCGACACTAACCACTAGCCTGGGTTTTTCAATGCCATAAATAAGAAAACAAGTGGTGGGTAGGGAGTAGGTGACACCAAATGGAACGGATGATGCAGGGATGGACTCCTGCAAAGATAAGAGGGGACTAGAGAGACATGACAACCAACTGCAATGCATAATCCTTAATTGGATTCTTTACTGAAAACACAGCTATATAATAGAACATTACTGGAGTAACTATGAAATTTAAATACGGGCTGCACATTAAATAATGGTCTGGTGCCGAATTTCTTTTTTTTTTTTTTTAACGTTTATTTATTTTTGAGACAGACAGAGACAGAGCATGAACGGGGGAGGGTCAGAGAGAGGGAGACACAGAATCTGAAACAGGCTCCAGGCTCTGAGCTGTCAGCACAGAGCCCGACATGGAACTCAAACTCATGGACCGCGAGATCATGACCTGAGCTGAAGTCGGCCGCTTAACCGACTGAGCCACCCAGGCGCCCCTGGTGCCGAATTTCTTAAAAGTGAGGATACTGTGCTTAATATCAAGATGAATGTCCTTGAGGTGAAAAGTTAAAAATAATACAATGCTCCCATTAATAATTACCTCCAAAGTTTGTAAAAATGTGGGTGCCTGGATGGCTCAGTCAGTTAAATGTCCGACTTCGGCTCAGGTCATGATCTTGCAGTTCGTGGGTTCAAGCCCCACATCGGGCTCTGTGCGGACAGCTCAGAGCCTGGAGCCTGCTTCAGATTCTGTGCCTCCCTCTCTCTCTGCCCCTCCCCTGCTCGTGCTCTCTCTCAAAAACAAATGAACATTAAAAAAGTTTTTTTGGGGGCGCCTAGGTGGCGCAGTCGGTTAAGCGTCCGACTTCGACCAGGTCACGATCTCACGGTCCGTGAGTTCGAGCCCCGCATCGGGCTCTGGGCTGATGGCTCAGAGCCTGGAGCCTGTTTCCGATTCTGTGTCTCCCTCTCTCTCTGCCCCTCGCCCGTTCATGCTCTGTCTCTCTCTGTCCCAAAAATAAATAAACGTTGAAAAAAAAAATTTTACAAAAAAAAAAAAAGTTTTTTTTAAGTTAGTAAAAATATATACCCAATTTCCAAGACAGAATTATATACCTATGTATTTATTTCTAAGAGGAGAGGCAATTGCAAACACGTTAAAACCCACAAAAGCACAGATTTCTTCCATTCTGGATAAAAGGGCAGTTGTCCTTTCCCTTTTAAGTTTTCTGGATGATTCCTGACACATTCTTTAAGGTCTAAGACTAATACACAGAAATAAAGTTAGTAGTAGGTTTAAATCAAGAGAGAAATCACAGTAACACATTCATCCATAGAAAACACATGCATTATAACCCTAATTTATTAATTATACCAACTAGACAGATGATAGATTTGTCTTTTTTCTTAGCTTTTTGTGTTTTGAATGGTACCTCCTACACCAATTTAGAGAAATGTCCACATATGAACTTGGGGATTCCATTATATCACTACCCAGCATACATGTAGAATCAAAAGCCTACTTGAATTCTGCAAAGAATGCAGGCTAAGATTATCCACATTTCTTCCCTTTAAGACGAGAATTCCCTTGTCCTGTGCACAAAACCACCAGGTCCTTAGGGGGTTCTCAGCTCCTTCCCTTCAGCAGTATTTCTACCTTTACTGCCGGCAGCTTCTCCATCCTCTCCTGATCTCACTGGCTGCTTCTAATTATACCTACTCAGTTTAGTTTTAAAATCTCAGGGAAAACCAAGACCATGTGTTCCAGTGAGATCTTCCTTACATTTACTCATGGTTCACTGACCCCTTTTTCTCCCATTCTTAAAACAAAATCTTTACTTGCTTAAGTCACTAAATATTTAAATCATAAAAGTCCTTTGGAAGGGCACCTGGGTGGCTCAGTCCGTTGAGCGTCCGACTTCAGCTCAGGTCATGATCTCCCAGCCCGTGGGTTCAAGTCCCATGTCGGACTCTATACTGACAGTTCAAAGCCTGGAGCCTGCTTCAGATTCTGTGTCTCCCTCTCTCTGCTCCTTCCCTGCTCGCACTCCGTCTCTGTCTCTCTCTCTCAAAAATAAACATTTAAAAAAAACTAAAAAAAAAAAAAGTCCTTTGGAAATGTTTTAAATACAATCTCACTTTTCTTAAAACAATCCTTATTTTCCTAAGAACACAAGAACCCATTACACAAAACTATATCACTACATCACAAAATTGACTAACTCTAGGTAATATTTATGTATGTATGTATGTATATATGTATGTATCTGTCTATCTTAAAAATAGACACCTAGCAATTCACTTTAGGAGTTTTTGCTACTGAAGCAGCCAGAGAAGTGTAAAAGACAGATGTCCAAGAATGTTCTATAATGTTACCACTCATAATGTTAGAGAGTTTACTGATAACCAGTAAAGGCCTTACCTGTAACCAATAGAGAGGAAAGAATTTAAATGACACCTCAATTTACAAACTAGAAAGTGAGGAGCAGAGAGATTAAGGAGTGTGCCCAAAGACAAAGCTAGTTTAGAGCAGCTAGCAGAGATGTAGTTTAAATAAGAGTTTCTTCAGGGAAGCTCAGTCAGTTCAGCGTCCAACTTTGGGTCAGGTCATGATCTCATGATTCGTGAGTTAGAGCCTTGCATCGAGCTCTGTGTTGATAGCTCGGAGCCTGGAGCCTGCTTCAGATTCTGTGTCTCCCTCTCCCTCTACCCCTCCCCTGCTCATGCTGTCTCTCTCACTCTCAAAAATAAACAAGCATTAATAAATAAATAAATAAATAAATAAATAAATAAATAAATAAGAGCTTCTTCAGCAATGAGTTGTTTTAAATAATCAGCTCCTTACAGATTTTAATCAATGCTGCTTGACACAGAAATGTCAGAGATACATGTGCCTTAAACTCAGTAATATGACAAATTCATCTATTTATAATAAAGAAATAGGCAAATTAGACCTTAAGTCCATATTTTCTCAAATTCCTATTTTAGGTTCACTTTTACCCTCCTCTTAAACTTTTTATATTATTGAATTTTGTAAACACTAGTAATGTCTGATTTGAGAGGAGAGAGAGAAGAGTCCTGGTTCAGTTTCTTCATTGTGCAGCGAGAAGACAAACCCAGGGGGAAGAGGAGAGTGACCTATGGTGATACAAAGCGCAGGCAGAGCTGGGCTGAACCTGGGCTCTCATCCCAGAGATCCTTCCCTTAGCCCCTTTAGCATCAAAGTACAAACATGTCAACTACTTCACATCACCTTTAGCTGTGGTGGAAAGCGTCAGATAATGCATAATAGATCTATTCACACTGTCATGGGGTTGAAATTTTGATGCCTATCCATAGATGAATGGGCTTTGTTATATGGTTTCCAGGACCAAACGTGTTCAGGGTGGCTGGTGAGTTGTAGGGGAAGATGCAAATGTTGCTGACCATAAAAGCAGAAACACTACAAGAAGAGGCCAAAAGTAAACAACACCTAACACAGGTGGTTCAAGACAGGCCTAGGAAATTCTCATTCATACAGGGATAAAATATGAACAATCTCAGCAATCTGTTATCAGTACAATTCCAGGAGCATTTTACTCTACATGTAGTCTAGGCACTGTTATGTTGGAATCCCCAAGCTGTTCCAGCTGGACATTTCCCTGAATTGGAATAGGAGGTACTACTCAAAGCATATAGAAGGAAAGAGTCAAACAGGAAGGGAGAGATGTAAAAACAAATCCATAAGGAAAGATCCTAGAATGTTGTTATTTCCATGATGATTCTCTACCTCTAATTATCATTGATAACGCAACAGAACTGTGAACTACTTTAAAAAAAAAATTACAAGGTGTATGTTATACTGCAATTATTTTTATACTATCACTGGTCTCCTATTTCCAACCTCAGAAAAAAATGCTATTTTTAAGAAATAAATATAAAAATAAGGTTCCTTAATAGTCTACCTGTTTACAAAACAAATAAAAGCTGTCTAATGGTTGCACACATACACACGCACAAGAACCCATGAGCACAACTAGCTGGAGCTGTTTAAAAAGCACAAAGTGGAAAACACACTTTTATTGACCTTTCAAAGCATTTGACTTCCAGGTGAAGTTTAAGATGAAGGAAGCCTTTTAAAAGTCCTACCTTTCAACATTTAAAAATAACTTCTTTCCCCTTCCCAAAGTCTCAAACTTTTCTTTGGAGATTTAAGAGCCCATGGTGACAACCCTACTACCCAAAAACTTCAAAAGAATATTTCACGTGTCCCTTCTACAAAGGGGTAGGTAGGAAGGTTCTACTGATATGAACTAGAGAGCATGTGTTGGCTCTCAACTGATAGATCATATGGGGACCAAGTTTTACAATCAGCATCGAATGTCACCCTACTCGAGAGCAACAAAGTCTAATAACTTTGTCCCTCTGACTGCATCCCGCTCACCCATAGAGAAAGCCAAGGTACATTATCTTACCTCAAACTGTGGGTAAGGAGGAGTCATAGCTGAAGGGGGCCCTGAGGTGGGAGGTGGCATCCCTGAAGTGGGTGGGAACAGACCCAAGGCATTCAGATTTAATCCAGGAATTAAATGTGCTTGAAGCTGCAATAATAAAAAGGTCCCTCATTTTACATTTAAAAAAATCAAGTGTAATTATAAGTGACAATATTCAGATTGTGACCTTGTCTAGTAAAAAAAATTAAAAAAAATCATTTTATGACTCAAATTTTAGAACAGAGCAGATGTTCCATGTTATTATACTTGAGCACATATCTGTTTATATTTCTTGATATGTTAAAATCTGTGTGCTCATTTGCCCCCTCCTTGATCTGAAGCTACACTAGCTTTCTCAAAGCAGGCAACATACCCTCGCTTTCCTTAATTATCAGCTCACAGTGCTTAGACAAATATGTACTCTGTGTGCTATGGGCACGCAGTAAATACAGACTGAAAACCTTGCATTAGTTGAAGAAGTAAGCAAACGAGATTTGTGCACTGAAAAGCAAACCAGATATACAGAAAAAGGTATTATTAAGAGATCTTTACTCCTTGGGTAAAATTTGGCTGTCGTGGGTCTAAAAGTCTAAAACAAAGTCAAGATCTTTGGCAATCAGGTCCCATCCCATACAACTATGGCAACTAGACATATCTTTGGAGTGTATCCAGGAGCCAGAAAGAGGACTTTGTGTTGCCTGAATTTTATAAGGGCTGAGGAAGTGAAGTGGAGATGACAGTTGAGACGTGAGCATACCTGGGAATCTCTTTAAAAGGTGTATGGTTGGATTAACTCGCAACTGACTCTGAAACATCAGATGAGCAGTTATAATGGGAAGATAGATAAGGCAGCCAGTCATGGGAGGTAAAATGATCAGCATATTTCTAGGTTCCTCTCACAAAGGTATTATTTTTATATTTCCCTTCTTTTACATGTAGTGTTTCAGATGACAGGCCCAACCGAGGAGTGTTTTTTTTTTTTCATTTACTTGAAAATTCAAAATGGACTACTGACATGTTACATTTTCTGCACCATTCCATCCACTCAGGAAGGTCAGCAATTCACTTTAATTGCCTTCATTGCTCTACACAGATTATTTTGTCATTTTTAGTTGTTTTAATGCCAAGGTTTATGACTAACCAAATTAAAATTAAAATTTGAATTCTTAACAGTTGCTTTTATATGCGTGGTATCTATTATAATCCCAGTCCTAATAAGCATTCAATGTAGGCACAACAGCCCCATTTCACAGATGAAGAAACCAATGCTTGGAGAACAGGTAAGCTGTCCAAGAGAACAGAGCTGCAGCTAATCAGTGGTTGAACTAGGACTCAAACCCAGTTCACGTACCTCTTAAGCCCACGTTCCTACTCTACTAATCTTCAAATTAACATTGTGCAGAAGATACTCATCTTTTTTTAGGAAAGTATTAGCCTTATTTAACAGATAAGGAAGCTAAGGCTCCAAGACTATACCATTTGCTAAAATCAGAGAGAGCCAAACCTGATGTCAAAGCCTGTGGTCTTCCAAACTATCCCACGGCACACTCACTATGGTGCTAAAAATCAATTAGAAACTACATCTAATGCTGCCACCATTAACGACATCAGGATTAATGCAATTGAAAACATCTTTTAACTGTTCATCAAAATAAAGGCGTGTCCTCCATATTAAAACTAACATTCATAGAAGCAATATCATTTTCGTAAGACTCCCTGATTTTCTTCATGATCTCTTCCTCAGCTTTGGCACATGTTTCAACGTTGCCTTTAACTGTAATGGTGCGCTCTGGATTATACAGCGTCAATTCCTGCAATCTGCAGAATGAAAAAGAGGGAAAAGAAAAAGAATGGAAATTACAGGAGGAAGACAGTTAATAACAGTCCAGCCACAGATGGCAATTAAAACCCAACTGTGGGGGCGCCTGGGTGGCGCAGTCGGTTAAGCGTCCGACTTCAGCCAGGTCACGGTCTCGCAGTCCGTGAGTTCGAGCCCCGCGTCAGGCTCTGGACTGATGGCTCAGAGCCTGGAGCCTGTTTCCGATTCTGTGTCTCCCTCTCTCTCTGCCCCTCCCCCGTTCATGCTCTGTCTCTCTCTGTCCCAAAAATAAAAACGTTGAAAAAAAAAATTAAAAAAAATAAAAATAAAAAAATAAAACCCAACTGTGGTGCCTGGCAGTATGTAAAAGTGGGTGGTCAGACATGATGAAAAATGAGTAAGCCCCAAAAGATAGGAATCCAAGAACTGTAAAGCTGCCGAAGAAAATACTTCCCCTCCAGTCTTCTCAACAGAAATTACTGGGTGTACACAGTTCACTTAAGTCCATGTTTGAAACAAAGTGTACTTCTTGACCACTTAAGTGAACTTTTTTCACAACAATTCAACAGTGAAATGTAAAGAAAATGATCACAGGGGTATACGGTTTTAGTGGAAACCAAGAACCAGATGTACAAAAACTTTAATAAGGATGTTCCTAGACTGCGTGGACCAATTCTAAACATAATTGGCAGTCTCATGCAATTGCATTTTCTGGGTCACCAGCAAGAAATAAACATGGAAATATTCCAAAAAGGCAAACCAGAATTCATGTGTCTAAACTTACTTTTTGCCAGTAATTTTAGAGTTTAAAGTAAGCTGGAGAAAATAACATAAATCAATGTGTCTTGACTAAATTAAAAACATGATCCCTTGATGACCATATAGACCCTACATTAGAAGGCCTTAGCAGTATTCAGAAACCCTCTGCTTGACCAAGATTCTGCTGAAGCTTCATAATCCACTGAGATGACAATTGAGACTGCCTGAGCCTGAGCCACTCAACAGCCTTGAGAGGAAAGCAATGGGAGATTCTTAACCATGGAAAACAAGACTAAGTACATAGATTGAAAGGATACGGAAAACTGGTAGAGCTCTCCTTCGTAATTGTAGAGTTAAAATCCTCATTTTCACTACTTAGCAGAATGCTGTAAGCTCAACTTGAGCCAGATGAATGGGTTATTATTCCTTAACCTTTTCTCTTATTTGCTAAAAATGTAAACATCTACACAAGGAAGACTATTTGTCTTAGACGGAAAAAGTGTATTTCTCATCTCTGGTCTCAACCCACCTCTCCCTGCCAAGCATTTTATATTAGCTTTTTTCTAATAGCTGCTTTACAAAGCTTTTAAGATTTTTTTCTCTGAAAACCCTCTCATTTTGGGGTGTAAAATTCAAGACACTCTGTGTTTTTTGGTTTTTTTTTTTACAATCAGGCAGGACTTTCCTATTTCCTACCACTCCCTTCTTTGAAAACTCCTTGCTGCATGAACATGCTGCCTGTCTTTCCTTAGCATTTTTCCTTAGTTTATCAATCTCCTCTCACCTCATCTTTTTTGGGTACTGTGATGTAAAGAATAGTTACCCCCAGAAAGGGAAACCTTTCCATACAATTTCAGAGCATTCATAGACCCAAGGTGTGACAGCCAGCTTCCAAGATGACCTACTCCCCAGTGGGCCCAGTCCTCTCTCACACTGAATAGAGATGACCTGTGTCAATTATACTAGAAAAATGACAGAGTGTGACTTCTGAGGCTGTGTTATAAAAGACATTGTCATTTCCATCTTGCTCTTTCTTGGATAATCCACTCCGGGGGAAGACAGCTACCACTGTCCTAAAGACACCCAAGCAGCCCTGGGGAGAGGACCATGTGCTAAGGCCTCACATCAACAGTCAGCATGAACTTCTCAGCAACATCAAGTGACCCCCAAGCCAGAAACACCCAGTTAAGCTGCTTCTGCATTCTTGACCCACAGAAACTAGGTGAGCAATAAATGTTTACTATTGTTTCAAGCTGTCAAATGTTGGGATAATTTGTTACACAGCAGTGGATAATAAATTGGGTTACTTATTTCAACTGTGGGAGTAGTGATCAGTAAATCTGACCAAGACTTCAGCCAGAAAGTATGAATGTAAAGTATTTAGTAGTGCTTTCTGCCTCTTTAGGAGGAAAAGATAATGCTTTCAATATGGGTTAGACACAGATAGTAGGTAGTAGATTAAGTTGGAGAAACAAAAAAAAGTATGTTGGTACAGGGTAGCTCAAACTCCTGAAAGATGGGAGCGGCTCTGTATAATACACAACCCACAGCTTCACAGTGCTAGAAAAATTTCTAACTCAAAGAAAGCAAGGCAGCACTTACGGAGATATCGTGATTTTAGTGTCAGTGTCTTGCTCAATTTTTTTAAGATTTCTTCCTTCCTTACCAATAAGACGGCCTACAAAGTTATTATGGGCTAAAATCTTCAAGGGAATCTCTTCTGTGCTGTAAATAAAAAAAGAAAAAGGTCATGCAATCAGGAGAAGTAAACCTTCTCTTGGGTAAAAAGACAGTATCCATTCATTACACATTTACTTCTTACCTACGATATAGGAAGCATTATGCTAGGTTGAGTTTAAAGTCCACTGACCTCCATTCTAGCAATGCATGAATAGAGGGGGCAAAAAAACAATAACAAGTATTTGAAGGTAACTTTCAAAACCATTTTCTTCCATGCATCTCAGGGAATATCTTCCAAGGTAGACTGTTAGCTCATTGAAAACACCTCTTACTCAAACCCACATCCCTAAATCCCCAATACCAGAACACAATGTACAAATGCAAAACAATAGGATTTTACTATGAATTGTGAACTACATTCCTAGAGATACATGCACAATTTGCAGAAGGAAACAGAAGAAACTCAACAGTGATTACTCTTTAGGGGAAGAGTATAAGAGCAGGAAGGGGGGCTTTCACTTTTCATTGTGTACCTTTCTGAATTTCCAAGTGATACATATCACTGCTGAAAAATATTACCGGCATTATCTGGATAGTGAGCCTTTCCGAATTTTTTTTTTTTTTAAAGAATTATGAACTTATAACAAAGCTACATGTAACATCTTACAACTAAAATACATTTAATACATATTAAAGGTCCCTACAAATTAAGTGCTAGTGATTAGGTCCCCAGGCTAACTCCAGTACCTTAGTCTGCTCTCTCCTTTTAGGAGAGTGTTGTGCTATAAGCTCAAGTGGCATAGAACCTAACCACTGTTCAAAGTTCTTGTGGAACAGGCATTTAGAGTTTCAACCTCAAACACCCAAATAAATCTCCAGTTTCCCTTAGCATAGGATTAGAGATTTCTCCACCTCTATACTCCCCGCTGCTGCAGAGTAGGGCTGGGCAGACAATAAGAACAGAGCTCCCATGGGGTCCGAGTAAGGGAGTCAGGGTTTGAGGCCCATTTTCGGTAAATCCCAAGAAGATTTCTTGGTTCTCAGGTGGGCTTCCTATCCCATAGGTGCCTTCTCCTACAGCTAGACTCTCCCCATTAATACCAACCACCCCATATCCAAACATGATTGAAAATAAAATACTTAAAAGACTTCTACTTTATAACCAACTCAGGAGTACCTACCACCACAGCTCTTCAGGACAGCACTGCCCTGTTTGTTGACAATGCCTAAGAATTCTGTCATAGAAGTCCAAAATAAAGCAGCATGAGTATCAACCTCTTCACAGCTTAATCCTCTTTACTCACAATTTTATATCTTGAGCTTCCTTATGCATAATTTCCAGAATAGATTTACAAGCCGCAGAGGTCCCTTCAGGGGTAGAGAGGATAGTAATGGACTTCTCAGCAGCACCTGCATTCTCTTTACGATGGACATCGATTCTTACAGTGAGCACAAGGAGGAAAGGAAAACCGTAAGCATGTATTCACATATACAGAGTCTGGAATATCAACTTCAAAGTAACAGGAAAGCAAACTGGTGCGGCCACTCTGGAGAAGAGTATGGAGGTTCCTCAAAAAACTAAAAATAGAACTACCCTACAACCCAGCAACTGCACTATTAAGTATTTATCCCAAAGGACACAGAAATAAAGATTTGATGGATGCATCCTAATGTTTGTAGCAGCAGTATCAACATTAGCCAAACTAAGGAGAAAGCCCAAATATCTATCAACTGATGTAGGATAAAGAACATGTGGTATATATATACACAGTGCAATATTACCCCATCAAAAACAATGAAATCTTGCATTTGCAATGACGTGGATGGAACTAGAATGTATTATGCTAAGCGAAATAAGTCAATAGACAAATACCTTATGATTGTCACTCGTATGTAGAATTTAAGAAGCAAAACAGATGAATGTATGGGAAGGGGGCAGGGAGATAACAGAGGGAAACAAACCACAAGAGACTTTTTTAATTTTTTAATGCTTATTCATTTATTGAAATAGAGACAGAGCACGAGTGGGGGAGGGGGAGGGGCAGAGAGAGAGACAGACAGACAGACACAGAATCCCAAGCAGGCTCCAGGCTCTGAGCTGTCAGTACAGAGCCCGATGCAGGGCTTGAACTCATGAACTATGAGATCATGACCTGAGCCGAAGTTGGACGCTTAACTGACTGAGCCACCCAGGCACCCCATAAGAGACTCTTAATGATAGACAGCAAACTATGGGTTGATGAAGGGCGGTTGGTGGGGGATGGGCTAGACAGGTGATGGATATTAAGGAGGGCACTTGTGGTGATGAGCCACAAGTGGGTACTGTATATAAGTGATGAATCACTGAATTCTACTCCTGAAACCAATACTGGACTGGTTAAAGTTTAAGTAAAAAAATAATTTAAAAAACATGTTGTGAAGTTACAGATACCAACACAGTAAGAGGTCCTTCATCTTACATGAAAGAAGAAACAATACATATGATAAGGTTTCTTTTTTTTTTTTTTCTTTTTTTTTTAATGTTTATTCACTTTTAAGAGAGAGACAGAGGGCAAGCCGGGGAGGGGCAAAGAGAGAGGGAGACACAGAATCTGAAGCAGGCTCCGAGCTGTCAGCACAGAGCCCGATGCGCAGCTCAAAACCACAAACTAAGATCGTGACCTGAGCAGAAGTCAGACACTTAACCGACTGAGCCACCCAGGCACCCTAGGATTTCTCTTTTAAAGCTACCCATGTTAGCAGATACAAGGAATAAGTCCTATAAAGACAGATTCCCAACTTAACAATACTTCCAGGGATAAGATGAAAGGTAACCGCCCCCTTTTTAAAAATGTGCACACTTATTTTTAATTAAATACAAAGTGAGTCTTCTGTCGTTTAAGAAGTACAAGAAAGAAAATTATCTGAAAAAGTGTGTTTGGGGAAAATTAAATACTTGTTGAGTCCCTCTGGCCATTCAAACACTAGAAGAGCTACACAACTCCTGGCCTTAAGAACGGCTGCTTCACCACACCAATAAAGTCAAGGTTTGCATTTCATTTTTCTAAATGTTTGAAACCTGAAGATTCATCTCTGAATTTAAAGGGCAATGAGTAGGTGGGGTGATGGGTGAGATAAAGGAGTAATATTAAGAATATATTATCATGATAAGCACTGAGTAGTGTATACAATTGCTCAATCATGGTACTATACACCTGAAAATAATACTGTACCTTAATTATACTTAAATTTAAAGACATTTCCAGAACCTTTAAAAAAAAAAAAAAGGCAATGTAGAAATTAAACAAATAAGAGCTGTCTAGAAATAATTTAAAAAAATATTTCAGGTTAAGTCCCAATCTCAGGAACTATCTTTCCAAACCACTATTTCAATTCCCAATCACTGTTAAGTATTGCTTATGTTCTAGTAGGTAAAATGTTAATCTAGTTTATTTCCACCCATTCACCCGTGTTAAGGATTACTAAACTCTGATCCTCTGAGAGAAGGGAATATTGCTTTATAGATCAGGGTAGCCCTCTGAGACCATTCCAGAAACAGAAGATCTAATAATGACTAGTTTCAATGGCCAAGAGTTAATTAAATCCACTGGCAGAACTGTGCAAATGAATCATCGGATATAACAAAAATTGCTTCCCTTCCCTTTCCATCCTCCATCTTCCTGCCTTAATAAAACAAACAGTTCAATTTAATTCATAGAAGCTCTTTCCTCTGACAAGGAAATGAGTAGCTTTAAAAGAATAACTCTAATCTGCCACAGGACAAGGAAGGGAAACCATTTAATAATTAGTTTCTGCAGGTAACAGTGGATAAAGGAAAGCAAGGAGCCCTTCCATTTCAATATTAAAACCAGGCAAATTTAAGATTAAAACTTCCCCACTCCCTACATTATGAAGTCAAAGACCACTGGTTTAACACAAAGGTTACCAGTATCCCACATTTCCTGCTTCAAAGCAGGGGGAGGGAGGGCAGGATCAGACATCACCGTGCAGGTAGAGTGGGCATGCAACCACCACCAAACACAGCTCATTTCGCTTCTGCAGGAGAAATGAGTCAGCTAGTTCAACACTGGCATGGTGCCTGCGATAAATATGAATATCCTGTTAAGCTCAGGGGAACAAACATACATAATCAAGACCTACATAGTACCATAGCTGTACTTTCAGAAAAAGACTGCTTAACTCCATGGACCACATAAAATAAAGTCATTTTCCTTACTTTACTTACAAATTTAAAACACAAAATAATCCATTCATCTTCGTAGCTGGTCCAAAGACATTTCCATTTCCATTGTTGTGTACAATGACACAGCCACCTCTCTCCAGTGCGCTAACTATGGCAGCCACTGTCCCCAGAGAGGTGCTTAGTGCACTTTACAGAACAAGGGGTGAGGACAGTTCATTGTCAAGCTCCTTTGGGTCAAAAGATCCACATAGAGCCTAACAGGATGGTTAATAAGCAAATCAACATATAATGCACTGAAACTTTTAAAGAGTATCTTAGATGTATTTTAAGGGCACTAAATGTAATTTACATACAGTCATTTCATTCATTTGATAAATATGAGAGTCTTCTACCTAGCAGACCATGTGCTCAGCACTGGGGCTACCGTCATAAATAAAAACACACAGCTCTTGCTTTCTACTGCTGCAAAGCTAGCTCCAATGTTTAATGGACAATCTCCAATCCCTTAAAATTTGCATATTAAAACTATCAAATTAACATCCTAAAGAATAAGCCAATCCAACCACATGGCTTAATTATGGGATAAATTTGGACCATAAACTGAATGATTCTTTACCGACATAAAGCATGATTGAAAAACTACGTCTGTACTGGACCCAGAAAATTACTTCCAAAAACACTGAAGGCAGGTATCACTGGGGGTAGGACTGGGGACAGGGATAGGTGAGTAGAGAATAGGCAAGTAGTGGCCCTTTTATTCGCCGGTGCCTCCCGCATCAGAAGTGGATTAGGTATCATTTGTTTTCCATTTATGTGTGCAAATTTGAAGTTCTCTTTGAGATTAAGGTTTTGCCTCAGATTATCAAATCACAAGGTTTTTCCAGATTCCCAAATACTGTACAAGGAGGAATCACGGCCACACTCAGAAGGACATCAAGTACCAGAACAACTTACTGTTATTAAAATTCAAAGGGGAAAATATTAACATCCACTGCAGCCTCACCAATACTCACTTTGACTGAGTCTGTTTGGTAATGTTCCGAATGGTGGCACCTTCTTTTCCTATGATGGCTCCAACAAATTGGGTAGGGACCAGCAGGCGCAGAGGCAAGTCACATGGTTTCTGCTTAGAGATGGATCCTGGAGATCCCTGCCTCGATGAGCCCCTCTGCCCAAACCCACGACGACCCCGGGGCTGCTGTGAGGGGTTCTGCTGGGCAGCCATTTCATCAGGGATGTAGGCCACTTTCAATGTGAAGCTCTCCAACTGGAATCCATTTAGTTTGTCTAAAGCTCTGGAAGATGACAAGGAGCAGAGTATGGGAAGAGAAATTGAGTTATATATAAACCTTTCAGCAAAGCAATACCCATCTCTTTCCACTCTGGATTACCACTTCTAAAAATTCTGAACAAAGCCACTGAGCAAGTAGTAAACTCCGAACACATACAATCCAACCCCCAAACACACAGACACACGCGCACGCATAGAGGACCAAGTTTCCAAAGGGAACATATTTGCCACTTACCAATGAAAAATAGAAAAAAGGTTAATCAACAGAGTTTGATTAAAAATGGTATTACGCGTGAGGTTAATAACAGCTTATGAGTACCTAAACTTCAAAGAAGTGAGTGGACAGTCTTTGTCTTGTCTGGTTTTTCCAAATCAGAATGGAAAAGATGTTAGAAATATGTACATCCCCCACTTCACCCTCTTGAAAAATAAAAATATTAAAACATTTTAAGAATTGCAGGACAAATATCCCTAAAGCACTCATGGGAGACACATACAAATTAATACTTAGGCTAATCAGTCAGTCAATAAATTCTCAGCAGTTCATGAGCAAGTCTCTGAGAAAAAAGCAGTCCCTGACCTTGTGGAATTTATGATCTGATTTGCGGCAGAGGCAGGGGTGCTAGTGAATCAAAAAAAGCAAATGAAGCTATTTTCTACTTTATCTATCTATCCATGCATGCATCCATTTACCCACCCATCTCTCTATTTTGAGAGAAGCTCTATTTTTTTCTTCATTTTTAAACCTCATTACAGAAAAGTACCCACACTTAAGCATACATATCCAGGTGAATGTACATATCCAGATCCAGAACTAGGATGTACCAATGCCCCAAATGCCCCATCAGGGCATTTTTCAGTAATTTCCCCTCCCCTAGATTTCTAACACCATAGATTAATTCTGCCTGTTTTAAAATTCTATACAAGTAAGTACATATGAGTACATGTTATATAGTATCATGTCTCACATCTCATGAGACTCATCTACATTTTTGTGTTGTACCTTACCTATTTTCTAAGTGGATAACTCAACAAAAAAATTGATAGAAAAGATATGGCCAAGATTTCAAAAGCACATAAACACTCCTAAGAATATACACTCCCCAGTACACAACAAAATTAAAAACAAAGATCCCACACTTTTTCTCTAGGGTTACTTCAAATTCTTTGCTCAGATTCTGTCCCAATGGGCATGGAGTTCAGCCCTGGTAAGGGAAAAAACAAAACCAAAGAAACAGGAATGAAGCAGTTTCTCTCTAGTTGCCCAGAGTTATCATTTCTGGTTCACATACTGCCTTCCTTATCTGCAGATTCAGTTTCTGACGTGAATGGAAAGGGGGAAAAAAGAAGAAGATGATGATGATCCTAGCACCAAAAAGGGCACCAGAAGCACGGAATTGCAAGACAGCCTAGGCAACCAGACAAGGCATGCTGCTTGTTCTCAGGACCCAGAATTCTGCCCTCTGTTCTTACTTGAATCCCGTTTCATGGCTATCCCACAGTGCCTAGCACACGAGTGAACTCGTAAGAGATCACAATCGAACAGAGCTTTGTCTGTCCCCATCACCACCACCCCCCACCCCAGACACTTCCCAGAATCATTGTTAACTATGAAAACATCTGCAAATGGACCAGTATTTTCCATACGTTTATACATGTGTGTCTGTGTTCAGTGCCCTCTTTAAAAGCATAACTGAACCTGAAACTAATATAACTTGGTAAGTCAACTATACTCAAATGTTTAAAACATCTTTAAAAAGAGGTAAATATTTCCAGTTTTAAAAGAAGTACTAGGAGTATAATGTACAACACAGTAACAGTTATCTGTGCTTTTGGTGTATTTGAAAGTTGTTACAAGAGTAGATTCTGAACATTCTCATCTCAAAGAAAAACCTCTTTTGTGTATGAGATGACAGGTGTTAACTAATTTACATTGGTAATCATTTCATAATATATTTACATCATTGTGCCTACACCTTAAACTTACACAGTGCTGTAGGTCAATTATTTCTCAATAAAACTGGTAAATAAGAAAATTTATGAATTATACCCACAAATACACACATATATATCTGAACACACATAGAGGAAAGAACAGAGTGTGGCTTCTAGATTATCAATAATACTGCACATTCATTTTTTAATTAAAAATTACTTTAAAATGCCTACAAAGTAAAAGCATAATTGAGTTAATATAGTTTTAGGTCTTGCTTTTTTTCCCCAAATACAGTATATCTTAGAATATTTCTCAGTGATTTCTATTTCACAGGACATTCTTTTCTTGAGTTTCACAGGCTAATGGCAGATACACAGCACAAATTCTTTTATCAATGCTTTTGTAACAGAACCTTAAATTAACACATTGTTTCCTTCCTTCTCCCTCTCCTCTTTTTTCTTAAGGAAAATGTGGATTAAGGACCATAAAATATTTTGGTTATTTCTAAAGGATTACAACAGCTGAGAAATTTTATCAACAATTATGATGTAAACTTATAAAAGTTGGAACTGCCCAAGTTTCAACCAATTAGGTATTCATTCAAAGCAACTTTAAACCTTTTCAAAGGCCATGCTAAAATAGATCACTGAAGGTTCTTAAAACCTAAGAGAAGCTGAACCTAATGAAGGAATCAACGATATCTATGGGCATAAAGGCGATATAGTTTGCTGTAATACCCTTTTTCCCACTATACACTTGAGTATTGCCAGCTTCAGAAGAAAATAAGTAAAATTTGTGGAAATAAGTCAGTAATGTTACCAAAAAAAGGTAAAGAATTGATTTTTGGAGAGAGAGGACCATACAGACATAGACCCCTTTTCTAATGGGGTTAAACAGATATATATATATATCTATATATATATATATATAGATATATATATATATATATACACACACATGTAAATTACCAGCCACTTCTAAGTATAGAGCTATCTATACTTGTATGGCCCCCAAGAAACCACTCTCTCAACTTAGCAGAAAATAACTCCCAAACTTCTATGTTTTACTTTAAAAGGAGATTTTTCTCAGAGGAACAAGAAAAATTCTCTCACTCAGAAAGCCAGACAGCACAGGGCTCCAATAAATCTGTGTATGGCCTAGGTCTCAAACACTCCAGACTCAGACTGCTCCCAGCAGGGAGCATTCAGCACATACTCTGTGTATCCTACTGTCTAATTGCCAACTAAATAGAATCCTGGACCCCTCAAACCACAGTGCTCCAAACTTGGACACAGCCAAAAAGGGATAGGAGTAACCTGTGAGCAATGGCTTCCTTATGATTAAAGATTCTAAGTGTTTGAATTTTAGGTCAACTGCTGTCGTCTTTTTATGCCTGAAGTTTGAATTTCAGCTATGTCATCTGGTGGTCTGCTGAGTCCATGGGGCCAACATTATAATATTTTCACCAAACCTACTATATATGTAAGATGTATGATAAACAATTATCATAATTATTCAAAACACATGTATTTCAGTTCAACTGAACTCAAAGATGTTTATCCAACAAGTACATTACTCAGGATCCTGTTTCCCATCATTACAAGACTGCTCTGATGCGGTTTTAAGGGTTATTCAGAAGGTCCTAAGTAGTTTTGCTAGCTGGTAGCACTTAATTGTATGGATAAAAAGTTTACCGGGGTGGGTCACAGCATAGCGCTGAAAAGACCATGAGAGAGAGACTAAGTGGTTTAAGTCAATGATGAGGAAGAGAGAGAAAGAAGAATTGAGGCACAGAGAAGTTCAACTTGTCCAAGGGTAAATGCATACGGTTCTGAGCAGTACAAAAGAAGATGGACCAGGGACCAGAATTCTATTTCAACTTAAACAGTAAGTAGCCAAGTAACTTGGAAAGGTCTTTTTCTTGTTTGGCATTAGCCTTCTCACTGACAAAACTAAAAGATTAGATTTATGGTCTCCTTCAACTCTAAAATTCCAGACCTCACTATTATATATCACACAGTTCCTAACAAAATGAGGTTTAGCCGTTATGAAAAAGTCACACAGTTCTGTTTTTCCCTTGTAGCAAGAATAAGAGTTTGAGGCACAATTCATGAATAACTACTACACTTTGGGGTGCCTGGGTGGCTCAGCTGGTTAAGCATCCAACTTCAGCTCAGGTCATGATCTCACAGTTTCGTGAGTTCAAGCCCTGCATCAGGCTCTGTGCAGACAGCTTGGAGCCTGAAGCCTGCCTCAGATTCTGTCTCCCTCTCTCTCTTGCCTTTCTCCTGCTCGTGCTCTCTCAAAAATAAACAAACATAAAAAAATTTTTTTTTAATTACTAAATATCTGGTAATAACATTGCAGGGATGCAACCTAAATATTTATCTGCAAAGGCATTTATTACTAAAATGGTTCTAAAAGGGGAAAGGTAACTGCAAGCAACCTAGATGTGCAGTAGAGGACTAGATACATAAGACTACAGCAGGGACAAAAATACTACACAGAGATTACAAATGGTATAAATACAGTTAATGGCAAGACAATCTGCAAAACTCTACAAAATTACCTTTGTCACTTTTTAATTAAGTTAGGACATGGGACAATGTCTGCTAAACTTGATGGCAAATCTAACAGTGTTATCTCTGAATGGCAAAATGACAAGAAATTCCACTGTCTCACTGCTTCATCAGTCATTTCTTTTCCCAAAATCTTCTATTTACATAATTTTCATAAAGATAAATTTCCTCCCCCTTAGCCATCAGTCATATTATTTCAAAAACTCCTTCAAATGGATGTAAAGCATCTGCAATGACAGCTTCAAACTATAGACTGTATTCCTATTCTCTAACAAACAAATAAACATCAGAAATAAGAACCCTAGGAGCACCTGGGTGGTCAGTCGGTTAAGCATCCGACTCTTGATTTTGGTTCAGGTCATGATCTCGAGGTTCTTGAGTTCACACCCACATCAGCTCTGTGCTGACAGTGCAGAGCCTGCTTGGGATCCTGTGTGTGTCTCTCTCTGCTCCTCCCCTGCTCCTGCTCTCTATCTCAACAACAACAACCAAACAAAACAAACAAAAACTTTTAAAAAATCCTGAAGAAAAGAAAGCATAAGAACTAAATGCCTACAAATTCTGAAGGGTTATTTTTTTTGTCACACATTACAAACCTTCGAATGAGTAAGGTCTGTCCTTGACTGTGTTATCTAAGTGTCCCCAGAACACAGAGGAAATAGGTGATCTAGAGACCCAGATCTAGAGATCTTAGAGCTTGTCTTGCTCTAAGGAACAGTACTAAAATATGTACTTCTGTTTTTAATGGTTTTTTAAAAGTTTTCCTCATTTTTTACCCATTTTAAAAATTATTTTAATGAATCAGTAAAGACTTAAGATTAAAACAAATATATGTATCTCCTAGTAATGTATTAATTACTAACCTTCATTTTTCTTAGCCAGAAGGTGGCAGAGATTTCCATGTTAAATTTTTAGAGACATAGCCTTACTGAAGAATCCTCTTAAAAGTGGCAACCATAGGGGCGCCTGGGTGGCGCAGTCGGTTAAGCGCCCGACTTCAGCCAGGTCACGATCTCGCGGTCCGTGAGTTCGAGCCCCGCGTCGGGCTCTGGGCTGATGGCTCGGAGCCTGGAGCCTGTTTCCGATTCTGTGTCTCCCTCTCTCTCTGCCCCTCCCCCGTTCATGCTCTGTCTCTCTCTGTCCCAAAAATAAATAAACGTTGAAAAAAAAAATTAAAAAAAAAAAAAAAAAAGTGGCAACCATAGAGGTTTCAGTAATAAAGAGGCAGTCACAGACCTTTTTCAACTAGGATGTGAATTCCTGAGTGTCGGTGGCCAGTTCTGTTTTGGAGGCATTCTGTTGGTTTTTCTCAACAGCCTCAGTAGCTAAGGACTGTAATTATTCCCCCTTTACAAGATGGGGGTGAGCTCAAACAGATTAATCTGACCAGAGTCACAGCGAGAAAAGTGGTGGCGCAGAGTCCATTCTATGGAACTGGACTCCGGAATATATCCTCTTAGCCTCTGTGCTCTACTCATACCACATAAGCACATCCCAGTTATGTGGACTCTGAGTAACACATGATAAGGAATGAAGTCAAATGAGATTATCAATTCAGCTCTGATTACCTGAAGGTGTGAGCTCAGATGGTTGCCAAGGAAAGGCTGTGGAGAAATCATGCCAGGCTAGTGTAAGCAGCAGACAGTCATGCTAGAGCCCAGAGAGCATGCGTCCAAGGTTCAGTGGGGCCAGTCCTAGAGGGACCAACCTTCCCCAGCTCAAACCACTTCAAGCTACTCTAGAAGCAACCCAGAACCAGAGGGCTGAATGTGAGGTCCTGTTTACTGGGTGCCTATGTGCCAGGCCATTTGATGAGACCATTTTCTGTAAGTATGATGTGTATATGCATGAATATATTTGGTTTTTGTCAATTCTCATGTTGCAGCTGAGAAAACTAAAGATCAGAGAAGGTTATAGTCAGAGTCCTGTGACCCCAGAATCCATACTTTCTCCATTATATCCAATGTCTCTCAAATAAAATTCTCACAGAGAATGTACTCCACATCTTTTTTCAAAACTTACTAAAGAAGTTCAATAGACAATCTTCACAGCATTGCTTCACAAAATTGGTTTTGTCCATTTTTTAAAACTATTAACTTTCTCTAAATACACAATTGTTTTCTAATTCTCTTTGATTTTTTAGGAATTCTTGATGGGGAGAAAACCCAGTATCTTATAAAGAAACTCAACTTGGTCAGGAATTAAAATCAGGTGATCCCCTTCCATTACTTTTATCACAGGGAGGCCCATCCTTGAGGTCAAGGACTTTGCCTTTATTCATTCCTATCTTTTGGTCAATAGCTGGTAATCAATAAATGTTACCTGATTAACTATTAGAATAAGGGATATGATGACTACTTCCCTCACTTAACTGCCCAATTTATTTGTTTAGGTTACCTAACTACCTACATTAGAAATCCCTAAACATTTTTTCCTCCCTCCTTGGGATCAACAGGACCCTGCCAATTTCTAACAACCACTACAAAGTACCTTTAGATTAAAAAAAATGTCTCCACATTCACATTGCTGTCATGTTAAGATTAATGTCCACAGTACTTCTGCTTTGACTAGCCAGTCTACACTTCTTGTGCTTGTACTCTTCTTAAGAAGTTGGAATTTTTTTTAAGGGGGAGGGGAGTGCTAAATGTCAACTTGTCTCTACTTAAGGTCTTTCTATGTCTCCTCAAAGCTATGTAAGTTAAGTCTCCTTATAAGTAACTAACTGTTGGGGCACCTGGGTGGCTCAGTTGGTTAAGTGTCCAACTCTCAATTTTGGATCAAGTCATCATCTCACAGATAGTGAGATAAAGCCCTGTGACGGGCTCTGCACTGACAGTGTGGAGCCTGCTTACGATTCTGTCTCTGTCTCTCTCTGTCTCTCTGATCCTCTCTCATTTGTGCTCTCTCTCAAAACAAATAAACATTAAAAAAAAAAAAATAAGTATTAAGTATTTCCGCCTTTACCTAGCCTCACATAAGTTTTCAAATAAGACAACTAGGAAAGGCCCCTATCTCTGAATATCCTTAGATTTAGATGTTATCTCATATATTCTGTGTAACATAGAGATGACTCTACCAAGTATTCATTACAGATCTTTGTAAAGACTGAAGTATAGAAGACAAAATGGAGCTTCTGCGTTCTTACTGCCCTCACTCTGATACCCCAATCTACTTTCCCGTTTTTCCCCTAACATGATTTGGTTGAAGAAAAAGTTTGTTTTACAACTTGGATATTATAGGAATTATGATGCAAACACCTTCTATGAACTTGAATTTTTTCAAATGAAGGAAGGATACAAACAGAAGTAAAAATAATATACCTTTAAACATAACCAAAGTTTCATTATTAAAACATTAAAGGTGAATCCCCTAGGTCAGCAAAGTCTGATGAAGCCCCGTGTTAGGGAGAATAAAGGGAAATGGACTTTCATAGTGCTGATGAAAATTTGAAGTAGTTCAAACTCTATGAAAGCTAACTTGCCAGCTTCGGTATCCAACAACAAAAAAGTACATACATCCTGACTTAGTAAATTTAACTCCAGGAATTTAATCCTACGGCGATATTCACATATATGCAAAATGACATGCAAAAAGGGATTCACTATAGCACTGATCATAACTGCTAAAAACTTAATAAACAACTTAATATCCATTTTGGGACTAAGTCATTCCACATCCATACAGTCAAATCCTAAGGTATCATGTGTGCAAAAAGGAGGAAATATTCACACATCTGTCTTCTGTGTTGTTAGTTACCTCTGAGAAAGGAAACAAAGTAATTGGGGACAATACTGGAAGGAAGATTTGCACTGTATACATCTTTGCACCTTGTAAAATTTTGAACCATGTTAATATCACCATTTAAAAAAATAAAGCTCCATTTGGGTTATGCAAATTTCCATCTCCCCAGCCCTATCTTTCCTTTCATAGTCCCTCCCTGAGTGGGTACTACTTTTGGTAACCTAGCTTTATTCCCACCCTTGCAGGGGGTTTCATCTTTTCCTTTTAGGGCTCAGCAGCCAGCATGGTCCTTCCTCTCACCTTTCCACACAGAGACAACAGGCAGTCTGTTCCTGCCTGTACTTTATCTGGAGGTGGTTAAGACTTCCATGGTCTATTGACACTCAGCACTTGCATGTCATTCCTAGGCATGTTTGTGCTCTGAGTAGCTCTATCCAAGGCAGTGTGTGTGGCATCCTCACCTTCTTTTCTCTAGTACTCAGCCAGTTCATTAGATCACTCCCAAGCCTACAGAATTATCTTTTCCTAGGGGAGATTTTTTGATCTGCAAAGTTTTGCCTCTCTCAATTGCACTGGAATATGTTTTTCAAATCAAAAAGCAAATTACATTGATCCAATGTCTGCATGCTCCTAAATTATAATTGTCATCAATAAAAAAAAAAAATCAGTGACCAAGAAAACTTAACATTTAACACCGGTGGTAGTTTAACACATGATCAACTTACCCGCTTTACATAAAATAGCAATGTTATGTATCATATCAATAAGAACAACAAGTCTTTACGTAATTTGGCAAGGATACCCAGGCCCAGAGCTTTTTGCAAATAGGATGTAATGCAGCGTCATACAATACCACTCTATTATTGGCATTAAAGACATATGAAAAATGTAGTAAAACTTTACTAATACAGATTCTTATTAGACATTCAAATTTAAAAAGAATTGCAGGGTCAAACTGTGCAAAATAAAATTTATTTCTGCTACCCAACAGCCCAAAATGTAAGCACTAAACTTAACCTAGTTATTACGTATAGATTAAAAGTTTCAAACTGCTTACTGTCTAGCTTGGTCCTTAGTGGAATAGGTTACATTTACGACTGCAGTTTCCGAGTCAGTGTTCACTAGAGGAAGAGAAAAGTGAAGAAAAAAAAGTTAGTTTTCTTTCTATTTCCTTCCTTTTAAAAATTTGAACGCAATTGAGAAGACATGTACCTTGCTCACAGCTTTCCACCACTCCATACTGGACTAGTAAACTATCCAGCACCTATCAGGAGGGGGAGAAAAAATTACAAATTTTCAATTTCCCAAGTTATTAACAAGGGCAGAAATAGGTTTTAAAATCACAAATAACTGTGATGGAAAAGAGCCAAAAAAAAAAAAAAAAAAAAAAAAAAAAAAAAAAAAAAAAAAGAAATTAACTGGGGTTTTGGGACTAAAGAAGCAAGGGAAGGGCACCATAGAAAGTTCGTAGAGGGCTTCTCTCTCCTGCCTACTTCCAGATCCCTGACTTTAACCTCATTTCCTTTGGCGAAACAAGAAGTTAAGTGGCTCAGCAAGGTGTTCAAAGCCATAACCGCCTGATTCCTGAGGCTGGAGAATAAAGAAGCATGTAATTCTCATACATTTATCTCATACACATCATCATTTGAGACAAGGCCCCAAGTAAAATGTTCCTTTTCAAAGAACTTCCTTTTACAGCTACTATGGGCACATCAGAACAGACTACTCTCAAGGCAGACTGGTAGTATGAAGAGAATAGTTGATATTCTACCTGTCTTAAAGATTAACCTAAATGACCTGAAATTAATTTAACACTGTTGGAAAATGTACAATTTGAAACTATGTTTTGACCACTTTTCCTGTAGTTGCATTATTCTGAGCATGTTATTCTAAAGAGAAGCTGTTAAAACAGTAACTAAATTCTTTTATAGTATAAAATGTAGATGTACATCTCATCGTCTCATCAGTATAAACCAAATTTGACTGTCCTCAGCTTCCAAGAACTGTAAAAAGTCTTTCTTGAAAAGTAAAACAAGTTTTTATTAATTTATAGTGAACCACTTATCAGTTTAATTGCAAAATTAAAGGACAGCCCCTTCAGAATGTTTTCTGCCTCCAAGAACATAGTAAACCAGTGAGAAACACATTAAATAAATTTTTATGTTAATTCCCAACTTTATGCAATTTCTTCTAAACAAACGTTCATCTCATGTGGTATCTTTCAGGCATTTATTTTGTCTACAGATTCCAGTTTGAAATTTATAGCAAGGTTTGTCTAGGGGTGAGCTTTAATTTTTTTCCCCCATTTTAAAATAGGGTAAATACTTATTTGTTAATGGAATAGTTACCTATTTTTATACTGCATGTGGTGAATTTTGACGTGGTGAATTCCCTTTGAGTGGGGCCTATCACAGAAGCACACTAATCTTTGCCTCTAATGATAGCTATTGTTAAGTCATAAAGCTCAATATTTTATTTTTAATTCAGACTACTTAGCTGACTACATAAATTTTCATTTGCTGGGTCTTGGCCACTAAAATGTACAGTCTGCATCAACAAGAATTTTTTTGTACTATCCCTAGTGCCTAGAATGTACAGGCACAAAAAGATATTTAAATAGTTATAAGTGAAGTGAACACTTACCCAGAGGAAATCCTAGTATAGCTTATTAGAAATAATACTCTTTATAATAGTGCTTACGTGGTTTACAGGTGAATTTCCTGTGCATGTAGTATTGATCACCGACTATTTTATAAAGGCCAAAAAACAGGACACCTCTCACAATGCCATCCAAAGAGGTAATAAGCAGCATATAATGCCTTTGAAAACATTTTTTAAGGCAACCTACTTATAATTTTAAATCACAAATTTTTCAATACCAAAAAATTATGGTACGTAAGTTAACAGAATTCTAACAAGGCACTTTAATTCATTCCATCTTAAGTAAAGCAGCAGGAAAGGTAAATCCAGTATTTAAGATTTAGCTTTAAAGTGGAAGGCACTCTAATAGAGATTTATAGTAACTTGGGTATGTTAAAGGGCAGGGTTGAAGGTGGAGATGGTGGTGGTAGTGACACAGAAGGGGTGTAGGCATTAGGAGTGAATGCCAGTTTAATGTTAATTTAAATAAACATCATTCTTAATTATTTCTAAAAACAATTTGTTCAGCAATACATTAGTCTCCACATAGTTTAGCTTATACCACCTTAACTTGTACTACTATACATATATATACATACATATATTTATATTTAAATATAGAATATATACATATACACAGGCATAAAATAAATACTTTTTTTTTTACTTACAAAAATCAAGGAAATAGACCTCAAAATTTTCAATGCATATATTGTAGAAAGCGTAATATGTTCAAAACAAAATTGCTTGGGGGCACCTGGCTGGCTCAGTTGGTAGAACATGCAACTGATTTCGGGGTCATAAGTTCGAGCCCCAGGTGGACTGTGGAGTTTACTAAAGAAAAAAAAAAGAAGAAGAAAGAAAAAAAACACCAAAATTGCTTGTAGTTGCACCTTCTATTGCTATAATAAATGCTACTGGTTGTCAACGATGTGTTAAAATGCGTAACATCTCTATCAAAGTAATTAGGAACTACAATCTAAAACTAGTGAACTTTATTATATGTAAATTATAATAAAATTAGTGAATTTTATTGTATGTAAATGATACTTAAATAAACCTGACTCTAAAAACCAAAAAACAAAAAACTCTAATCCTTCAAAACAAAACAAAACAAAACAAAACCAATCGGAGGTGCCTGGGTGGCTCAGTCAGTTAAGTGGTTAACTCTTGGCTCAGGGCTTCGTGGGTTCAAGTCCCGCATCTAGCAGCTCCCACACTGGCTCTCTCCCTCTCTCTTTCTGCCCCTTCCCCAATCACACTGTCTCTGTTTCTCTCAAAATAAATAAATAAACTTAAACAAACAAAACAAAAAACCCAGGCCCAACATCAATAATTAAGAAGTACTAGTTAAGAAACAAGTTAACAACACAACCTGTAGTTGGATTTCAATGCGTCTTTGTTGTTTTAATTTAAAGCTTTATACACAAATTTGGGGGCTAATCACAAGTGAGAGATGGAGGAAGGACTGTTAATAGCCCAATCAGATTTCCAAATCCCAAAAGGGTTTCCATCCCCCAAATGATTAGGCAGTGCTATAGCAACCCGTTTCCCTTCAGTCTATTAGTTAGTCATTTATTTGAATGTGCTATGTCAAGCAGGACTACTGAATTCGATCATGCCAGTTCAACCCACTCGAAGAGTAAATACAACTTACCCTTGATAAGTTCTGACATTTTGGTTCACCCTGCATTAACTAGGAAGACAGACATTCCATTTATCTGTCACTGAAACCACCCACCCCCTAGGTTCTGGTCTCCTCTCAGGTGTTAGAACATCTTGTATTTTCTACCTCTCCCATCTATTTCGGCTACAAATGTTTTAAATTAAACAGCCTTGTCTAAAGGTAAAAAATAAAATAAAAACTTCCATTGCCCATTTCCAACATTTCCACAAATCTCTTAAACTCCCAGTCCTAAATGAAATTATTTTACTCAAGCCAGAAAGGAAACATTTCTCTCTGCTTCAGTAAGTTTTAAATTCCAACTGGAGGGGAAAGAAGTCATCAAAACAAAGCCCCAGAGAAAATGTCTTAGTGGAATGTCCCTTTTTTATATATTTAGGACTTAAAATTAAATCTCAAATATTCAGCCTTTTTAAAAAAAGTTCCTCCAAATGCAGAAATAGAATCTCGTGATAAATGCAAAGATTAGCATTGTCCCTTCACACAGCTGCAGAGAATTAAGATCATTCACAATTGTGTAGGGTAGAAACAATCTAAATGCTCATCACCTAATGAATGGATAGACAAAATGTAGTACAGCCATACAATGAAATAGTATTTGGCCACAAAATGGAATGAAGTACTGACATATGCTACAACATGAATGAACATTGAAAACATTATGTTAAGTAAAAGAAGCCAATAACACACACCCACACACAAAATACGTATTAAGTGATTCCATTACTAGGAAACATCCAGAAAAGGGAAATCTAGGGGCACCTGGTGGCTCAGTTGGTTAAGTGCCCAACTCTTGGTTTCGCTCAAGTCATGATCTCACAGTTTGTGAGATTGAGCCCCATGTCAGGCTCTGGGCTGACAGCATGGAGCTTGCTTGGGATTCTTTCTGCCTCTCTCTCTGTCCCTCCAGTGGTCATACTGTCTCTGTCTCTCTAAAAAATAAATAAATTTTAAAAAAGGGGGGGGAATCTATAGAGGCAGAAAGTACATTAGTTGTTGCATAGCGCTGGTGAGTAGGAATGTAGAGGGCGGTAGCAGAAGAGGTTGCTTTTTGAGACAATTAAAAAGGTTTAACATCAACTATGGTGACAGTTGCACTTATCCATTATACTAGAAAACACTGAAAAACACACTTGAAGTGGGTGAACTGTATGTGAATTATATCTCATTAAAGCTGTTAAAGAATAACTAAGATCAGTATTACTAGATAATAGCCTAGGTTTTGGTTTTTTTTTTTTTTAGCACTGAAGAACTACTGAAGTGTAATAAACTGCACAAAATTTGATCAGTTTTGCCATTATGTATACTCTCCTGAGACCATCACCATAATCAAGGTAAGCTTCTTCATGCCCCTCTTCAATCTAGTAGGCTGGTCTATTCATACACAGAACACTGAGATAAAGATAGTTGAAAAACGATCTTTGTCTCACACATGATCAGATTTCGTCTGCCACAGCAGCACCACATCCACCACCACCACCCTTGCCCCCCACGAAACTAGCTGTGACTCAGCTGATCCCCTATGGGCGTGGAGTAATTCATGCTCTGCAGACAGACCTTCTGCTGACTACTTATTCTTTATACCTGCTGCTCCTGAGGTCCTATCAGCTCTGAACTATCTGAACTGAGAGTCTGACTGGTATCTTACCTCCGGTCCACCACCCCGTGACTATTCTCCTGGTACAAGTTACTACTCTTCAGTGGCTTCAAACTACTGACAGAAACTGTCACAACTTCAACATGGTACAGGAGATCATCAGTGATCTGGTGCTGCCTACCTCTCCCATCATCTTCAATATACTTCCCACACACCTACTGCTCCAGTCACACCCTGAAGACTGAGTAAAGCACCCTCGTTTCCATAGCACCTGAGCTCACCTAATCCTATAAATGAAAGCAGTGTCATTTTATAATCTCTTCACTGATCTTCATTCTCCCAC